CCGGCGTCCAATCTCTGCTCATGTATTATCTTACAGGGGCCACCTTTTCTCCTTCTGAGATCCACAAAAACTGCTTATTCCTAGTTTCTGTCTCTTGTTCCCTGTTTGTTATTTTTACAGTCCCAAGCACTGTCTAAAATCGATTGAATTCTGGGACCTGGACAGGCTAGGCTGACACCACCTTTGAACAGACACAAAGTGGGCGCAGGCTGCCTCATCAAATCAAAGTCCCGATTCTGCCATTTACTAACTCTGTGACCGTGGCCAAATCACTTGATCTTTCCAGGCCTCAGTTTTTTCATCTGTAAGATGTCCTCTTTTTATAAGATTATGGGGCAATTTCAGCAGATCAGAGCCTGATGCACAATAACTTTATTTACCCAAACTTTACTTATTGTTATCATTTCTAGCTATATGCTCAGTACCTTGAACAGTAGGCTCTCAATAAGTGTTAAATGAATAAGTGAATGAACACAGGACATAGGTGGGGGTCAAATAAAAATATTTTGGGTGACAATAAGTGTCAGGAAGAAAATAAAGTAGGCTGACTTGGCGGGTGGCGTTGGGGTCAGCATCAGACGAGAGATCAAAGGAAGCCCTTAGAGGACGTGACAGTGGTGTTCCCTCCCCTCCCCTGGCTGCAGAACTCTGAAGACCTACTGGATAAGCAAAGGCAGTGCCTTCAGTACCAGCATCTCCAAGCAGGAGGCGGAGCTGAGCCCAGAGATGATCTCCAGGTAGGGGTGGCTCGAAGGTTGGGTGGGCGTGGGGTGGGGGTATGTAGTCTTACCAGACCCATGTACCCTTCATCCCCATCCACAGCGGCTCCTGGCGGGATCGGCCCTTCAAGCCCTACAATTTCTTGGCCCACGGCGTCCTCCCTGACAGTGGCCACCTGCACCCCTTGCTCAAGGTCCGCACGCAGTTCAGGCAGATCTTCCTGGAGATGGGGTGAGCATGGGGCCGGGGGTGGAACAGGGCCAGTCGCTGGGCACAGGCAGGGCAGTCAAGCCACATCTTCCACCAGGTTCACCGAGATGCCAACTGACAACTACATCGAGAGCTCCTTCTGGAACTTCGATGCGCTCTTCCAGCCCCAGCAGCACCCAGCGCGCGACCAGCATGACACCTTCTTCCTGAGAGGTCAGTGGGACCTGCTTCGCTATCAGAAGTGTCCGGCCTGGACAGAACCTTTCAGGTGTACCATTTTACAGAATAAACACCATCCTTCTCAGCATGGCCAACACGTCAACCAGTCACGTCATGTGAGCCGGTTACATCAACCTCTATGATCTCCTTCCACCTGCCCTCCTGCCCACCTCAGGGCCTTTGCCTATGTTATGCTTTCTGCTGAGAACTATATTCTCTCAGATCTTCATGGCAAGCTCTGACATCAAATGTCCATTCATGTGTCACCTCAGAGGGGCCACCTTGACATACCTTTGTCCCCCTGAAATCTAAAGCAGCTCACCCTTAGTCTTCAACCTTGGTTCCTGTTTATTATTTTCTTTCACAGTCCTTGGTACTGTCTGAAATTGAATGACTCCACAATGGTGGTTGTCTCCCCCACCAGGAGGAGGGCAGGTGAGGCCGTTAGGTGCTTATTACCTGGCCAAGAGCAACAGCAGCATTGCCATTGTCGTTGTACCCAGAATTAGTAAGCACTCACTACACCCTAATCACTGTTCTAATCTTCCTGTTTAACTATAAGAAGTAGCACTGTTGGCCCGTTTACAAACGAGGAAACTGAGACTCAGGGAGGGAACGCTTGTCCAGGATCACACAGCTTGGAAGTGCTGGAGCCTGGATTTGATGTCAGGCTTTTCGGGGCACCAAAATTGCATCTCTGGAAGGGTATCTTAAGAATTTACATATTCGCACAACAAATGGTCCCTGAGCCCCTCCTGTTTGCTGAGGTCTCTTAAACACCTGGGTGACAGCCATGAACAAGACAGAAGTCCTTGCCCTGGTGAGACCTGGTGGGGGAGACGTGTATTAAATCCTGAGTAAGCTGTAAGAACAGTAACGTAAGATGGCAGTAAATGCAGTGGGGGAAACTGGCATTGGGAAGAGGGGCCGTCAATTTAAAATAGTCGGCTTAAGCAAAGACCAAAGGAGGTGGGGGAGGGGGCCAGGTTTGGGAAAGGGAATGGCCAGTGCAAAGTTCCTGAGCCTAGGACATGCGTGGTGTGCTCACATCAGCTGAGAGGCCCGTGACTGGAAGGAGTGGTGAGTTAGGAGTGGGAGAGGCAAGGGTAGGGAGGTGACTGGATGTCACTGAGGGGACTTTGGCTTTTTCTCCCAGCGATATGAGAGCTATGGACAGTTCTAGGCAGAGAGGAATGTGACTGACTCAAGTGTTTACCAGGTGCCCTGTGGCTGCAATGGCGGGGAGGGCAGGAGCTGCACCTGTCACTGTCTGTTTGCTCTGTAGTAGCTGTTTGAGAAATGCTCCTTGACTGACCAGATGATGCTCTGTCCTGATCAGATCCCGCCGAGGCCCTGCAGCTCCCCATGGACTACGTCCATCGAGTCAAGCGGACCCACTCCCAGGGTGGCTATGGCTCGCAGGGGTGAGGCAGGACCACCCTGGGGTGTCGGGAAGGAGGTTGGGACCCCGAGGGCATCAGCACAGACTTCTGGATTTTCTCCTGAAGGTACAAGTACAATTGGAAGCTGGATGAGGCCCGGAAAAATATACTTCGCACACATACCACGGCGGCCAGCGCCCGTGCCCTCTACCGCCTGGCTCAAAAGGTGTGGCTGGGCCTGGGCAGTGCAGGGGACAGGAAGGGGCTGGCATACTGACCTTCTGACCCATGCCCTGGCCTTGCCTGCCTATCACCTGCAGAAGCCCTTCACGCCAGCCAAATATTTCTCCATTGACCGAGTGTTTCGGAATGAGACCCTGGATGCCACACACTTAGCCGAGTTCCACCAAATCGAGGGTGTTGTGGCTGACCATGGCCTCACCCTGGGCCACCTCATGGGCGTCTTGCGGGAGTTCTTCACCAAGCTGGGTGAGCATGCAGGTCAGGGCAGGCAGTGTTGGTGGGGCCTCAGCAGGATGCCTGGGTCACCAGCCTTGTCCTCCACCCAGGTATCACCCAGTTACGCTTCAAGCCAGCCTACAACCCCTACACCGAGCCCAGCATGGAGGTGTTCAGCTACCACCAAGGTCAGGATGGGACCCGTTACTGGGGCAAGGAAGGAGATATCAGGCTGTCCTCTCTCAGCCTGGGTCCCCTCACTGCGAAGCCCACACCCCACCTCCCGAGCTCACTGCTGAGCCCGACATCACTTACACAAGCTATCCCATTCTTCTGCCCCCACAGGCTTGAAGAAGTGGGTAGAGGTCGGGAACTCTGGGCTCTTCCGCCCTGAGATGCTGCTGCCCATGGGACTCCCCGAGAACGTGTCAGTTATAGCCTGGGGCCTCTCCCTGGAGCGGTGAGTGCCCAAACCACTTAGGATGTCTGGCCGCCTTGCTCAGGCAACTTGCCAGTCAACAGACCTTCAGCACCATCCATTCATTCATTCACTGACAGACTTTAGTGAGCACCTAGTGTGTGCTCTGTCTTATGCTGTGAATAAACAGCACACATCCCTGTCTCCGTGAAGCTCGGGTCCTAGTGAATTGATAAGAACGATAAGTAAATTCAACAAATAGTGCCTAGAGCGTGTCTGAGAGCAGTAACTACTATAGAGAAAACACAGTAAGGAGAGCTAAGGAGAGGAAGTTGTCAGGAAAGACCTCAGCATCTGAGCAAAGACTGGAGCTGGATGAAGGGGTAAGCCGGGAAGAGACCTGGAGAAGAGCATTCCAGGCAGAGGGAACTGCTAGTGCAAAGGCCCTGAGGCTGGAGTGTGCCTACTGTGTTTGGAGAACAGTGAGGAGGCCATTGTGGCTGGAAGGAGGGGTGAGTGAGGGGTGTGAGAGGGAGGAGATGAGGGTGGGGAAGTGATAGAGCAGATCATACAGTGCCTTGTGGCCTCTGGGAGGGCTTGGACTTATACTCTAAGGAAGGTAGGAGCCTTTAGAGAGATTCTGATCAGAGTACGACCTGACGTAGTGTTAAACTGTATCTCTTCTCTCTCAAGCCCCACAATGATCAAATACGGCATCAACAATATCCGGGAGCTGGTGGGCCACAAGGTGAATCTGCAGATGGTGTATGACAGCCCCTTGTGCCGCCTGGATGCTGAACAGGGATCCCTGCAGGCACAGGAGACCACATGACATGGGCCACCCTGGACAGGCCACCTTCCCTGAGCCCCCGCTTCCAAGCCCGTTAACATCTCTGGCTAGTGACCCCCTTTTATTTATGATGCCTCTGTGAGGCCACCCCCACCTCCCCACAGCCCCTGGTATCTCCTCTTCCCCACCCGCCCCAGGGTCATGGGCAGGGGAGGAGGTAATACGTTCATTTTGATGTCCATCTTTGAGGGTGGGCCCTGGGGAGTCCTGCAGGCAGCTGCTGGCTAATAAAATGGGCAGTTGCACTCATCTGGTGCCTTTTCCTTAGGGGTGGAGGAGTTCTGTTGGGTCCCCTCAGCTCATAGTGCTGCTTGATGGAAAACCTGGATGCTAGTGTGAGGGGTGGTGGGTTGAGGATCTTGGGTCCTCGGGTCTTCCTGGCCAGCCTCAGCCAAATACCCCCTGGGGAAGATGAGCTCTACTAAGCATTTACTGATTACCTGCTGGTGCCAGGCCCTCTCCTAGGGGAATGAAACAGAACCCCTACCCCTACGGGAGGGATATTTGGGAGTTTTTAAAAGCTGTATGCCCCCCTGCCCTTAAAAGACTTTTAGACCAATTTTAGGTTCACAAAAAAATTGAGTGGAAGGTACAGAGAGTTTCTGTATACTCCCTGCCCCAACCCTCGAACAGCCTCCCCCACTATCAACATTCCCACTAGAGTAGTGCCTTTGTTAAAACTGATGAACTTACATTGACATATCATTACCTGGGGTTCATAGTTGATGGTTCACTCTGTGTGTTGTACATTCTATGGGTTTGGACAAATGGATGGTGACATGTATTCATCATTATGGTATCATACAGAGTATTTTCACTGCCCTGAAAGGCATCTGTGCTCCACCTGTTCATCCCTCCACCCCACACCCCCGAAAGTTTCTCTTTAAAAAAAATTCTCATAAGGATTTCAAATGAGCCCAGAATAGAGAAATAAATAGGATAAAGTTCCAAGAGCCCTGCACTCCCATTGAACAGTGATTTGGATCTCACATTTGAGCTTCATCTCTGGTATGTTTCTGGAAATATTTTAAAGCAAGTCCCAGCCACCAGTCACTCACCCCATGTTTTCAGAGGCAGTGCACTTAGTGAAGCTGACAGCTGGGGCCGTGGGTGTCATGGTCCCAGGGCCCTGTGGGTACCAACCTCCTGAAGGCTTGTCAGTCAAATCTGTATTTCAAATTAATTCAGTCATATAGAAAAATACCGATTCATGCAATTAATGCACATTTCCTAAGTGCCAACATTTCATGAGCTGAAGCCTCCGTAGTGGGCAAAGTGGAGTTAGGATTCTGCCCTCTGGAGCTGATGGGGGGAGGCACTTGGGAGACATGATAAACAGATAAATACAGAAATGGGTAAAGGCTTTACCAAAAAAAGTAGCTGAGGACAATGAAGAGCATATATATATATATATAACAGCACAATTCAGTAAGTGCCCAGGAATTCATCCCACCCTGTTTGAATCTGAACATTATAGTATTTGCTTTGGATCTTTCATCATATTTTAGACCTATGTGACCAATGGGTTTGAAGACCTTTTGAGTTTGTCCTAGTTCCTTCTGCCCTCACCCTGCTGAGGTAATTACCCACTCCTGAATTTGGTATTTATCATTCTCATATGTTTTAATATTTATACTACTTATATGTTTTGTTCTCACAGGACATGATTTTATTTTGCACGTTTTAAAAAGTTATACAAATGATGCACCATAAAAATTAACATTGTGTGTGTTGCTTTTGTTTTGGTTCAGTGCACTTGTGTTTGGGTGTGCATGCCTTTGAGATTTTTTTCGATAAATAATCCTCCAGTCTTCAAATCCGATGCTGTGGGAAGATGTGTTTTAAGTTGTGACTGTGCCACAAAATACTAATGTTAGCTACTGTTTATTAAACTCTTGGTGTGTTCTAGATGTTTTACCCTGAAAATCTTACAATAGCCTGATGTTTTAGATTTTTATCACCTCAATAGTAGATGAAGACAGGTTTTGAGAGTGGCAGTTTTATGATCATTGTTGTGGGTAAAAAATAGAGCCCAGGTTCAAATCCATGTTTTCCAGAAAGTAGGTGTCAAGATGTGTGCCGTAGTGTGTGTGGCCTGGGACATAGCCCTGCACAGAAGGGCTGATTAATGTGAACGGATTCCTACTGCCTCCACATGGACACTGTGACAGGTGTCCCAGAGAGAGTTCCCTCCTCCTCAGTCAACTGAAACAAAACCCTGACCCTTTACCTTGGCCTCTAGCCCAGCCCCTGCCCAATCTCAGCCTCCTCAAATCTCTAATTTCTCTCTCCAGCAGACATGGCTGCTCCTCAAACAATTTATGGCATTTGCATACACCTATTCAAACCTTTTTCCGATTTTTTAATTGGGTTAGTTGTCATTGAGCTGCAAGAGTTGTTTGAGAATGTTGGTACAGGCTCTTGGATTTATATTTTGCAAATATTTTCTAGTCTATGGCTCCTCCTGTGCCAACAATAATGTTTACTATTAAGGTATTATTGTTACTACTACCATTATTATTAAGGGATATGGGTCCAACTTTTTAAGGGCCAGATCCCGCTGTGCTTTCAAGGAGCTTCTAGTTATGGAGTGCATAGGTAACTGATTTAAGGAGGTAAGTGCATAACTCTTCCACTAGTGGCGATAAATTATCAGGGAACAGCAAAGGTCAGAAGTTTTTATTGAAAAGATTACTAGGGGCAGAGCAGATAAACTGAAATGTAATGAACGAACGCAGGGTCCGCTGGATTCCCGTTACCCTCGTTGGATCCCAGAACCCCACAATAGCGCGCTTAGGAGCGTACACGGAGACCATCCCCTTCCCTGGACCGCGCCCGCCGCGCGTGCTGAAGTTCATACTTCCCCCTTCTGTGGACAACCCAACCGCCGCTTAACGGCCGGCCCCGCCCCTCTGTGCGCGCACGTTCCCCGAGCGTGGCGAAGGCAGGGCGCGCCGCAGCACGTGCGCGGGGGCGGGCGGCGGGGGCGCGCACGTTCCCCGAGCGTGGCGAAGGCAGGGAGCGCCGCAGCACGTGCGCGGGGGCGGGGCCGGAAGGGGGCGGCGCGTGCGCAGAGGGCAGAAGGCTCAGACGAGAAGGCGGGAAAAGGCAAGGTGGAGCGACAGGGAGTACGCCGCGCTTGTTTCCTCCGTGCGGGCGGCGGGCGGACAGTCAGGGAACGGCCGCGATCTCGGAATTCCACAGCGTACACTCCCCCCGCCACTTGTCTCCTGACATCGAGGCCACCCCTTGCCTGGCCGGGCCCGAACTTCCTGACTGACCGACCGGGCCCTGACTGATGGACGGACAGTGTGACTGACGCGCTGACAGTGGTGCCAGAAGTTCATACTTCCACTCACGGCGTGTGGCAGGAGCAGTGTAGAGAGGGGCTCAGAAACCCATGCGCCGCACCCGATTTTTTTTATTCTCCTCCCTCCTTTCTCTAAGGACTCCAGCTGACGCACACACCAGTTAGGAGCCCAGACGCCCCGGCGCCCCTTCCGGAGCACCTGCCCTCACCCCGGCCTTTCCAAGTTTCCCCACTTCTGTCCTGCTCTCCAGGCTCAGATTCCCCCCACCCCAAGCCCCCAGCTTCGTGGTGCCCACTCCAGCTCTGCCCATCCCTTCTGTGGGTCCCCACCATGTCGCAGCGGCCCCCGGATGTGCCCGGGGCCTAAGGGGCGGGAGGAGGGGATCTGACCCTCCCTCCTTCCGTCTCTCAAGCACTGGCTGTGCTCACAGGTGGACATGTCTTACGTAGAATACAAGGACCAGGAGCCACAGCCGTTGGAGGAGAGCAAGGAGCAGCGGCAGGGCGAGGAGAGCCGTGAACAGGAAGCTGGTCGTGGTCCAGCTAGGTGAGGAAGCCCCCTGCCCAGCAGGTCCAAACAGACCCCTGGGTCCTTCTTCACCCGTTTCTCCCCCAAGACCTTACTAGTGTCTGCTCTTGGTAATTTGTTCCACTTACTGGTTGAGCGTCTCTCATGTGCCTGGCACAGTGCTAAGTGCTAGGGACACAGCAGTAGTGAGCTGACACTATAAGAGGAGATAGATTGTAAACTCAAGAATATATAGTAGTCAGGATGCTAACACTATGTGAAAAAATAGGGAGAGAGTGACAGGTAGCCGGATTAGATCAGAGGAGGGTCAGGAAGGGCTTCATGGAGGACGTGACAATGCAGATAGGGAGAACTATGCTACAGGCAGGGGAACAGCAGCTGCAAAGACTGGAAGAGGACTGTTGGAGCAGTGTGAATAAGAGGGAGAGAGTAAGATATAGTCAGACAGGTAATAGGAATTTGGATGTTAATTACCCACGAAAAGGTTTGGAATAGAGGAATGATGTGAAGTGACTATAGCAGAGTGGTGACTATTGTTAATAAAGTTTTATTGGAACACAGCCCCTATGGTCTATGGCTGCTTCTGCAGAGTTGAATTGTTGCAGAAGCAGCCATAGGCCATTATAGTTCACAGTCTTCTGGACTAAAGTATTAAAAGGCTCCCTCTGGCTGCCGTGTAGAGAATAGATTATTAGTGCAGGAGTGGAAGTTGGACCAGCGAGAAGACAATTGGAATAATCTAGGTGTAGGATGACTCTGATTTGGCCCATGGTAGATCTGTGGAGGTGATGAGAAGTGGTCAGATTCTGGATGTATTGAAGAAGCTAGAACTGACAGAAATTGTTAATGGATTAGATGTTGGAGTGAAAGAAAGAGCAGTGTCAAAAAAGGTTTTGTCTTACACATTTAATAATTCATTTATTAATTCACCAAATATTTATTGAAGGTTGGCTTTGTCTAGACCAGACTCGGGATACAACAGTGAACAGAATCCCTTCTCTCTGGGAGCTTTCTGTCACTTAGTCATGTGTGTGTTTAATGTTCCTCCATGTCTTTTTATTTCTTGATAATTCATTTCTTTTTAGCATTGAATAACATTCCATTGTGTAAATGTACCACCATTTATTTATCTATTCACCTATTGAGAGACATTTCGGTTGCTTCCAAATTTTGGCAGTTATGAATAAAGCTGCTATAAACATTCATGTGCAGGTTTTTGTGTGGAACTAAGTTTTCAACTCTTTTGGGTAAATACCAAGAAGCATGATTGCTAGATCATATGGTAAAAGTATGTTTGTTTTGTAAAAAACTGCCAGACTGTCTTGCAAAGTGGCTGTACCATTTTACATTCCTGTACCTGTTGGTCCACATCCTCACCAGCATTTGTTGTTGCCAGTGTTTTGGATTTTCACCATTCTAATAGGTATGTAGTGGTATCTCATTGTGTTGATTTGCAGTTTCCTGATGAGGTATGAAGTTGAACATTTTTTCCTATGCTTATTTGCCATCTATATATCCTTTTTGGTGGAATGGCTGTTCAAACCTTTTGCCCAGTTTTTAATCAGATTGTTTTCTTACCGTTGAGTTTTAAGAGCTCTTTGTATACTTTAAATACCAGTCCTTTATCAGTTATGTGTTTTACAAAGATTTGCTCCCAGTCTGTGGGTTGTCTTATCAATTCTCTTAACAGTGTCATCTGCAGAGCAGAAATTATTAATTTTAATGAAGTCCAATTTATCAATTTTTTTTTGGTGTTATAGCTAAGAAGTTGTCATCAACCCCAGTGTCACTTAGATTTTCTTCTCTGTTATCATCTAGGAGTTTTATAGTTTTGTATTTTACATTTAAATCTATGATCCATTTTGAGTTAATTTTTGTGAAAGTTGTAAGGTCTGTGTCTAGCTTCAGTTTTTTGCATGTGGATGTCCTGTTGTTCCAGCACCATTTGTTGAAAAGAATTTCCTTTATCTATTGAATTTTCTTTGCTTCTTTGCAAAGATCAGTTGACTATATATGTGTGGATCTATTTCTGGGCTTTCCATTCTGTTCCATTGATCTATTGTCTGTTCTTTCCCTGATACCACACTAACTGGATCACTGTCGATTTATAGTAAGTCTTGAAATTGGGTGGTGCCGGTCCTCTGAGTTTGTTCTTCTTCAATATTGTGTTGGCTATTCTGAGTCTATTGCCAAGTTGAATTTCTAAAAGATAGATAATTTTTTAAAAAAAAGTAATGTGATTTCAACTGGTGGCAGGTGCTGTGAAGATACAAGGCAGAGCAAGGAGCGACTAGAGTGACAAGGAGTTCAGAGTAGTTAGAGAAGTTCTTTAAGGTGGTCACAGGACAAGGAGCCAGCAGGAGGCATCTGGGGGCCCAAACATGCAAAGTCCCTGAGGAAGGAATAAGCTGGGTGTGCTCACCAAACAGCGAGGAGGCCAGAGTGTCAGGCATTGTGATTGATAGCAGGGATACTCGGGTTCCACCCAATATACTCTCCCAGTGCTTCCATCTGATGGGAAGGCAGATATTGAACAAGTACTGAGACAGAGGAGATCTAGGAAAATGTTTCCCTGTGAGCAGCCAGCCTGAATGGGGAGCCAGGGACAGTGCCCTTGAATAAGCAATGCTGAATTAGAAGATGAGGATGACTGGGTGCTGAGTGAGCATGGGGGTGGAAGGAGGAGCTGAGAGAGGAGCTTATGCAAAGCCATTGCACATGGTGAAGGCAGCCAGTGTGGTTGAGTTGGGGTGTGAGTGCAAGAGGAGGGCTGGAGGGCTTGGCAGGGGTCAGGTCACAGGGCATTTTGTCAGCTTATGGACTTTGTCCTGAGGACTTTTTGGGTAACAGCTTTTTTGAGATAGAATTCAGATACCATACAATTCACTTACTTAAAATATACAATTCAATTGTTTTTAGTATATTCACAGAGCTGTGCAACCATCACCAGTCAACTTTATAACATTTTTATCACCTCGAAAAAATCCTTGCACCCCTTAACCATAACCCCCGAGTTTCTGTATCCTCTCCAGCTCCTGTAACCACTACTCTACTTCCTGTCTCTACGTATTTGACTCTGCTGGACATTTCATATTAATGGAATCATACTTTGTGACACTTCTTTCCTAAGCACAATGTCCCAGGGTTCATTTTGTTGTAACATGTATCAGAACTTCATTCCTCTCTATGGCTGAAAAATATTTCACATTGTGGACCTACTACATTTTATTTATCCATTCAGTGGCTGATGGACATTTGGATTGTTCCTGCTTTTTGACTCTTGTGAGTAATGCTGCTATGAACATCCATGTACAAGTTTTAGTGTGGACGTAAGTTTCGATTTCTCTTAGGTAGATACCTAGGAGAGGAAATGCTGGGTTATTAAAGAGAGATGCTCAGGTTCCTATTATAAAAAGACACTGGCTGCTTTGTGGAAAATGGGTGGGAGGGGGCACAAGTGGATATAGGGTGATCAGGTGGGAGGCTCCTAGGTGGGGTGGCATCTAGCAGGACAGATGGAGAGAAGCCCTGGCAAGGAGTGGTCATTTAGTGGGGCATGAGGAAGGGGATGAGCCCAGGATGTCTCCCGGCTTGTGTGCTCACAAAACAGCAAGAAGGCTGGCATGTCAGGTGTTGTGATTGGCTATAGGGATACCTGGATCCTGGTATGCTATGGTATGCTGGAGCCGGCTCCTACCAGCTCGCAAGAGCCAGTTCTACACATCTCTTCTCAACACGGCATTTTGCGACTTCCTATTGGTAGCTTGAAATTGGCTATAGTCTTTGCACCATGTAAATTGGCTAAGTTTGTTTGCCTTCTCTCCCCCGCTCACCCAGAGAGCCAGTTGCTAAATGCTTATCATCACACCACTGGCTCCCCACTTTCTGGCTTGGAGTGGTTTCCAGCAGATGGTGGTTTCAATGGCAGAGGCAAAAGCATGAGTTCTGTTTTACCCTTGTTGAATTTGAGGTGGTCGGGGACATGTATGTGAACTGTCCAGGATATGGTTGGACTTTCTGACCTGGAACTCAGGGTGGGGCCAGGGGCTGGAGATGGTGTTGGAGGCATCAATTGTTTCAGTGGCAGCTGTTGGGTGAATGAGCTCATCACCTGGGGAGAGAGAGCTAAGGCCAAGCTCAGGACAGGGCGCTGAGGACTTCAGGCCTAAAGCCAGCTTTCCCCTACTTCCCAGATTACTCCTCAGTTGTAAAGCAGGCTACAGGGTGGGGTGGTTTCCAGGTATGTGCTGTCACATGGAGACCAGAAAAAAGGAAATGATTGAAGTCATTTGTTTGATAACATCTTTCTGCAAATAGCATGTTTAGTTAGACCCAATCTAAGTGGTGAAGAGACACAGACAATTGCAAATCATTGTGAGACTTCAAGGACTTCCACAAGAGCTTTGGGCCGAAAAACAGATGGTTTAGAACCAGTTCAAGAGCCAGTTAATAGATCCAGCAGCAGACACTCAGCAACATGATTAAAATGTGAACACGCTTTGGGAGAGAAAAGCAGAGGGTGAGGAACGGCTCAGCAGCTTCAATTCAGACCTTCCCCCTTCCTGGCTGTACTTCAGCAAAACCTCGTTTTGCCCAAGCGCCAGATATTCTGTTGTGTTCCTCCTTGAATATTTGATTAGCTTGCCTCCCCTCCTGGGACTGCCGCCTGCGGTGGTCATAAGTGGCTGGCGGATTGTTTACTTGTATATCTGTTAGAGGCCATGGAGGGAGGGCCCCACCAGCGGGGCGGCTCTGGCTCACACACCTGCCAATCACAGCTTTACCTGGAGCGAACAGATGGTCTCTTCACTTAGACCCATTTCCTCCTCTGTTCCCGGGCCCCCTGCCAGCCTGGTCCCTGCTTGGGAACTATGTCCTAATCCTCGCAGCCAGCCGAATTAGGGACTCCTTAGAAGGACAGACCATAATAGATGAGCATGGCAATGTGTTCACAGTCCCCGCTCTGATCCCCCACCGCCCGACCTGCTGTGTTGGGCCGACTTCCATTTCCTGGCCTCCGTCCAGTGTTCTGCAACAGAAGCAGGCCCAGGAACGGGGGAGCCAGGGGAGAGGACACTGTGCATTTTGTTTATTGAAGTTAATTGGTGAAAGCAGGCCCAGGGAAGCCTCTGATTCATTAGCATCCTGATTAATATGCAGCTGCTGAGTATTTAGAAAAATGAAATGGAAAGGAGTAAATCCCCAAAGGAGAGGTTGGAAAAAATCAAGAGGCTCTCTGCAGACGTCTGATGCAGGCCTTTGTCCCACAATGAAATTTGTATCAGCAGAATTCAAATGATTTTTTACCATTTGCATAGCTGCCATGAAGAACCATTCCAGCCTCATCCCTGGAGCCTGAGAAAGGAGCGACTTTGAACCATTAGCAGCTCAAGCGGGTTGTGAGCAGTTACACAAAAAGAAGCACCTGGTTCTATCATTGATTTTAATTTCAGGATCCTTACACTGCCTGGCCAACAAGGCAACTATGGGTACAAAGAGGCTTGTGAGCAGAAATTTTATACCCGGCTCTGCTCAGGCAGTGGTTTATTCATTTAGGTATTCGGCAAACATTGGTGATGCCTTTGGTTGAGTAGAATGTAGGCCTCTGCCCTCCCTTCAACCTGCACTGTGCCCTGGGGGAAAAGGGGGAACTGATAGGAATAAACTGGGAGTGTTGTGATCAGTAGGTGAAGGTGCCATGTGGATTCATGAGTGGAAGCTCTGAATGTTGCCTTGTAAAGTTGGCAGAAAGGGAAAGTCATTTCAGGCAAAGGCTGATGGGTTTGGTGAAATTGCGGAAGGTTCCAAATTGCTGGGAGTGGAGAGTGGAAAGAGAGTAAGGCTGAAAAGAGATGGTAGAGGCCCAGGGCCCTGGAAGAACTTGGGTGCTGTGCTAGGGAATTTAGACCTGATCCCATGGCTGGTGGCGGCTCTCATAGTCTGTGGAGCAAAAGTGGGACATCAGATTGCATTCTGAGATTGTTGGGGCCCAGGTGAGAATGATAGGTGCAGAGTTGCAAATGATTAGATGAAGAGGAGATGATGGATTTGAGAGCCATTAAGGAGGTGGAAATGAGCAGATTTCATGACAGAATATAGGACAGGGACAGGCTGAGCTCCAGGCTGACTGCTAAGTTTCTGGCTTGGGAACCAGGAGGCTTTCGCTGAGGGGAGAGAGGACAATATCAGGTTGGGGGAGAAATGACAATGTTGGTGTACAAATGTGGAGGAGTTTGAGATGCCTCTGGGACAGCCAGATGAGAAGGGCCTGGAGGATACGTCATTGGGAGCTCAGGAGAGAGGTGTGGGCTGGGGACAATAAGTTGAGGAAACATGGAAGTGTAGATGGTAGTGAAAGCCCTTGCTAGTCATTCATTCATTTGACATACTTTTATTACTCCTATCATGAGGGGTAGGTATGGGGATATGAAGATGAATGAGACCCTGTCCAGCCCGCCGGAAGGCTACAGGGGAGGCTGAGGTGCGGGCTGTGACACTGTTGGTGCTGTGTGCATGTAACCCAGCCAGAGAAGACTTTCTAGAAGAGGCAGAACTTAGGCAGGGAAAGGGACTGCCGGGACATTCCTGGCTACAAGAGTGCCTTTGGGGAATGACAGGTTGTGCATTGGAAGAATGGGGGTTGGAGGTTGGCAGGAGAGACCAGCAGGGAGGATGCATGGGCAACCAGGCTGCCAAGGACCATGAATGTGGGTGTAAAAGGAAGAGAGGAAAGAGAGAGCCTGGGAACAGCATGTGTCAGGAATGGCAGGGAAGGTGGTCAACAGTAACAGCTGCTGCCAAGAATCAAGGGAGGTGTCTGCCAGGTGTCACTGGGGACCTTGGGAGTTGCTACTTCATTTGAGAACTGAGAAGCAAGTGGGAGGTGAGAAAATGTGCTCAGAAAGTGTTCGCATCTCTTTCTAGAACCTTAGTGGTGATGAGGAGTAAGGAGGGAGGTAGCTGGCTGAGGGAGACCTGGTATTTGAGGGGAAAGAGAGCAAGAGATTGTGTGTGTGTGGTTGTGGGGCGTGTGTTGTGTTTTTATAATGCAAGAGACTCCATATGACATGCTGGGGTGTGTGGGGGGTAGTAGGCGGGGTGGTGATGAGGAGTAAGGAGGGAGGTAGCTGGCTGAGGGAGACCTGGTATTTGAGGGGAAAGAGAGCAAGAGATTGTGTGTGTGTGCGTGTGCGTGTGCGTGTGTTGTGTTTTTATAATGCAAGAGACTCCATATGGCATGCTGGGGTGTGTGGGGGGTAGTCGGCGGGGAGGAAGACCAGCCAAAGGGAGAGGTCAAATATACAAGATGACAAGATACAGGTTATGGGTTGGGAACCCAGAACATCTCGCCGGCCCTCCAAGCTGAGAGTTTGGGAAGAGGAATGGCAGTGTGGATACATTTATGAAAGGCAATGGAGGGGGTTATTGGCCCGCACTGTTTCTGTATCTGCTCAGGGGGAGGGGAGGCAAGTATGGGGTCAGGCACGGGAAAGTTGTACAGATTTGGGATGGCTGATGGGAGGAGAGCACAGACAGGATGCCCAGTGGCCCTAAGGACCACCCTGAGGCTGGAGAACAAGACCTTGTAGTGACTCTGTTCATAGGGTCTTGATTTCCTCCAGTGTCAATCAGATTCCTGAGTGTGAGAAAAGAGACAGCGCTTGGTTGCAGAGAGCCACGGCAGGTGAGAGGATGTGACACAGAATTGAAAGGAAGAGGAGCTGAGGCCACCAGCCAAAAACTAAAGTGATGGAACCCTAGGCTGAGAACAGGAGGGCAGTTAGTGCTTGAGGTCTCAGGGAAGTCAAAAGCCAGGTGTTCCTGAACCCATGCCTCAAGCTCCATCACCATCATGAAAAGCATAGCTGTCCTTCTAAAAGCACTGTGTTCTCCGCACACATCCGGATATTACAAAAATCTGAATATTAAAATGTCACCGTGTCCCATGTCTGAATTTGTGTCCTGCTTCACCTCCCCTTAGGAAAGAAAAGTAATGGAGGCATGAAGGTCATAAATTCCTTAGTAAACCTTTGTTCTGCCACAAAACAAACATCTTTTTACAAGAATGCTAATAGAGCCTTTAGTTGGTCCGTTGTTTTCTAGCTGACATAAATTTTTGCTCTAGAAATATTTGCCTCAATTGGAGATACTTTCTTGTCTTAAAATGCATTGGACAATGCATCGTGCTTTGGAGGCAGGTAAACGTGCATGCTTTGTGGGAAGCCAGAGGAGGAGGAATAGATCTGATGGAAGGTATCTTTCATTCATGCAACAAACAGTGGAGGACTTACTATGTGCTGGATGCTGAGAATGTGAAGATAAACAGGACCCAGCCCTCAGGGGAGATAGGGATGTGAGCAGTGACAAGCTCATGTAGTGAGAGATGGGCAAGAGGATCCTGGATGGCTTCTCAAAGGAGACGATGGTCTGGCTAGGTCTCACTGGTCGAGTCAGAGAGCAGGCACAAAGGTGCAGAGGCAAGAAACAATCTGGCAAGGAGTACATGAGGACCAGCATACAGCCGAATCCTTGGGCCTGAAAACTTTTGTGCAGATGAGAGTTCTGGCCACCCAGCCTCTCGTGTACTGGGGTTTCACCATGCTTGTATTCTCAGCCAAAATGGAAGAGTTCAGGCAGTCATGAAAAAGCCAAGAAAAATAGTTTTGTGAAGAAAGCATCGAAAAATCAAGATGTGTTTTTCTAAGTAAAGAGTTCCTGGCTTGTGGTGATGGCCAAATTTATGGTTGTATGTGAACTGGTATGTTCAGGAACCGCTGCGGGGGCACTGAGGACCCAGGAGGAACCAAGACAGGGCGTGTGAGTCAGGCCAGCTGGGTGCCTTTCCTAACTCTGTCACAGACTGGCTAGTGACTCTGAGAAAGTGACCAAGCTGAGTCTGTGTCCTTGGCTATCAGGTAAAGATGAGTGGACAGACCCCAAAGCCTGGTCATTAGGATGTGGTGACATGTTGCCTAGCAGATGGAAAATGCTGACAGATCAGATAAAGCAGAGAAACAGCAAAAAAAATAAAGCTTACCTTAAACATTTTATCTTAATTTAAAACAAGGGGTCTGCTGATCAGATTGCAACTTTTTTTCATACACCTCATTCATAATGCATTACCTGCAATTTCCAGTTTTGTTTTTAAAAAAGCGAAAACTTACAGGCCCTGTCAAAGTGATCTGTATACAGAATCCTAGATTTTTATGGTCTTTATCCCAGTCTATAGTTGTCTCCCCCATACCTAATTTATTGATCCAATTTAGCTTTATTAGACAGATGTCGATTTTTATGCCATTTCACTGGCTAACATATTTAATTGAATTACATCATTATAGTCACGTGTACAGTGTAGGACAAATGTAACTTTTTTTGTGCATTAAAAAGTCTTTTAACAAATAACTCTTGATGGGCTGCCTCATCTGTTATGAGCAGAGACCTGCAGGTACACGAGTCCCAAGTGGGCTGTAGGCTTCAGGCATCACCCAGGAGATTTAGAAAGGGATGGAAAGGTGTGCAGCAGGTTGGTGACAGGAAGATCCTGTCAGGTGGATCTTGTTCTGGAAACTGAGGTGGATTTTGTGTGTGCCTCTAGGTCTGTTTTCTCAGTCATAAAATGTGGATACTGTCTGCCTCTCAGGGTAGGTGTGTGAATGAAATAACCAAGCATCGCCCACAGGAGACACACAACACTGGTTCTCCTCCTACCGTCAAGCTAATACAGATCAGCCACTGACCTGAGATCAGGTTTGCTGCTGACCTCAGTATCCTGTACTTTCAGAAGTCAGGTTTCTAGCCCCTCTATCGCCACCTCCAGTGCCAACCGCCAGCTGATGATGCTGGAAGGGAAGTCGGGACCCTACTTCTCCTCTCTGGACTCCAGCATCGAGATCCTGAAGAAGAGGGCCCAGGAACTGATCGAAAACATCAACGAGAGCAGGCAGAAGGACCATGCACTCATGACCAACTTCAGGGACAGCCTCAAGATCAAGGTGACAGATTCCCCCCCCACACACACACACACTATGAAGCCCCAGGGGCGGGGCAGGGCAAGTTCTTTTGTAAAAGGTGAAAAAGGGAGGGACTGAGCATGTTATGCACCCAGCATGGTGCCAGACAATTTGCATATAATACCTCGTTTCACCCTTCTAACAATCCTGTAAGGAAGTGATTGGACCCATTTTATAGATGAGAGAAGTAAGACTTAGAAATAATTTGAGTGAGAGCCAGGATGATGGACCAAGGTCCATCTGCATCTACTAGTTTCACTCCAGGGCTAATGGCTATAGGAGTAGGGGTTGAAGCATAGGCTGCATTAACACAGCCATTTATCCTCCAGAAGTCAAATGGTTAGTGATGCGAGAGTAGGGGTTGCTGGACATGGCCAGGGCTTATGTCTAACAAAGCCTGGTGTTATGTTCAAGTCTGATGTTAATGACTGTTCCTGATGCTTCTTCAGAATGCACAAGGGATCCCATGAGTGGGACATCTCTTAATGACAGGTTGACTTTTTATCCCCTTTTTTTGCCCCCGCTCCCATCCCTACCAGTAAACACATTGGTATAGCATAGAAAATTGAGAAGCAGAGAAAGCTGTAACAAAACAGAAAAAAACATAAAAACATTCCTATGATCTCACTCCCCAGAGGCCACTCTGTTGCATTTGTTCTAGTCTCTGTTATGTATCTACTTCCTAACCTGGTGGAGCCTATACTATATAATTTTGCAATCTAAAAAAATTTTTTTTAATATAGGCAATTTCACCCCAGTCACTAGAGTTGTTTTTACCTTTTTTATGTAATAAAATACAGAAATTTTAGAGAGCCACTTAGAACACATCTTACGATGCCTCTGGTTTGATATTCTAAGAACATGTCTTATTGTTTAAAAGGTTTCGGACCTGACAGAGAAGCTGGAGGAGAGGATGTATCAGCTTTATAATCACCACAACAAGATCATTCAGGAAAAGCTCCAGGAGTTCACCCAGAAAATGGCGAAGATCAGCCATTTGGAAACAGAGCTCAAACAAGTGTGCCACACAGTGGAGACCGTGTACAAAGACCTGTGTGTCCAGCCAGAGGTATGATTAAACCCACACAGGGGGCACTGCCTGAGGAGAGTTGTATGGGCTAAGGTAAAAGTAAGTGTCAACAGAAAGTAAGGACATTAGCGCCCTGAAGGGGCCACTAACAGTAAAGTCCTGGGTGCTCCTACCATCTCACTGTGGTCTTGTGCTCCCCTGCAACATGATATGTTGGAACCAAGATGCCAGCCCATTGTTATTTCCCATGGCTGTATGTACAGGTCTGTGGTGACAGAAAAGATAAAGTCCTCTCCGCCCACAGCCCCAAGCAGGTTTACTGATTACAGCAGAGCCAAAGACACAGACAGGGGCCAGATCACTGGGGTCAGGGTGGGGGACTCCCAGCCACATCTGAGCACCTCATGCTCCTCACACATGTTTGTTTTTCCTATGAATGAAAGGACTTCTCGGGTGGTTACAAGTAAATGTAACCCAATACTGTGGGTCAGACATGCAGATTCTTTATTATTCTCTCTTCCCTCATTCTGACTCAACATCCAGAATAAGGCACTTACTCCCCTAGATGGGAGTGTCAGAGGGCACACAAGGAACTCTTGGCGTGCAGGGGTTTGCGTGGTCAGGCACCAGGTCAGTGGATCTCACAGAAGTTGTTTCCCTGTCACTTTCCTCCCTCGCCCTACTCCCCATCAAGAGAGCTTCTGTTCCAGGGTAAGTGGAGCCCATTCCCATCATGGTGAAAAGTGGATTGAGACACTTGATGCAGAGAGTCCCATCTTATTTTTAAGGAGTACATTTGAGTGACTTCAAAAGGGAAATTTTGATATTGAAAAGTCAGTGTCTCTCACCTCCCCCCATAAAAATTGGCTCCATCTGCCACCTCCCTGAGTAAGCTCAGAGCATAGCAGCTCCCTAGGAAGAGGCTCAGGACCATCCGGGCACCTGGGTGAAGTGTGATCACTTGCTGGTGGTGAATGCCTGGATCCCTGTGATTGCCTTTCCAAGGATCAGAGCATGAATGTCGTGAGTCCCTGGACAAGGTAAATACAAAGTCAGTTTGGAGTCTTAACAGTTCACAACTTCCCTTTAAATTCAGTCTTCATGTCCCCTCCCCAGGCTACTACTTTGGAAGAACAGACCCACAAAGATGGCGAATGCTGACAGCTTCTAGGAGAGTCACCTCTTAGTGACAGCCACCCAGAGAAGGCTCAGAGGCCACTGTTCTGGCCACATTGAGAAAATTGTTTTTCACAGTTCTATAATGCATCTTGGCAAAAAAAAAAAAAATTCTAGCTCTTTGTGCAGACCCAAAAGGCAACGGGTCCAGCTGCTACCATGGGCCCAGCTTTGGTACCCCCAACATATGGACAATTCACCTACCCCAGTCCTGCACAGTTCATTAAATGTTTGATTTTCAACCCAGCCATGTTTCCTTCCCACTGAGGTAGAGAGCTCTGACGGGCTCTGGGAACACATCAGGCCCTTTCTCACCCACAGAAGGGACAGGAAAGCAAACATTAAATCATTGCGTGTCCCAGTTGATCTCCCCCCACCCTGAAGCTGCCACCCACATCCCACAGGACAGAAGGCAGAGATTACCGCCTTTCTTTTATGGAGCAAAATAATTCTGTTTACTTTCTAAGTGCATACCTCACCCCATCCCTCTCCTTAAAACAATCTGAAGACGCCCTCTGCTTATCCTCAGAGTCATTCCTACACCTGTAGGATCCCCCCACCCTTCCCTTTTGCCATTTCTGGAATATCCCATCCAGAATAGCTTACAAAAGCTATTTCACACTTTGCCCAGGGAGCTCTTACACCTCCCTTGAGGCCTAACTCAGTCCCACTTTCTAAGAGACAAGTGCTTGCCCCTCTTACATCCCTCTGTTTCTGCCTGGCTCACACTGGATTGTACTTTTTTTTTTTCCCCTTTTTAATTACCTTTTTCCATGTCTGTATTCCCATGAGGCAAGGGGTTCTGGGCCCAATGTGAGTCACAACCAGTTGCCAGGTGCAAACACCACAGTCTGCAAATGGTTTAGCATTTTCCTTTTTTCTCTTAACATGGAGTGGTGATGCCTGTGTATACTATCACTCCCTGCATCACCAACTCACTGAGCGCTGTGCTTTACTCCGGAGCTGCCCAAAGAGGCCGTCAGCAGTCTTGGGAACACCCATCCTCCAAGCATCATGAAGGAAAGGCCAGAGAGCCCCTCACCTCAGTCCTAGTGTGAGCCACTCCAGATGAGGATACAGTGGAACCTGCTCCAGGTCATGCTGCCAGAGGTGACAGCTGGGAGTAGGACTTCCATCTGCTGTCCCCGCCCTTCCTTCCTGGCTCTCTTCCCCAGACAGTAAGGCCAACTGTGACCACGCCCATTCCCCAAAGGATCCAGCCCCTACCTTCATAGGTGTTCACGGCCTCTAGGTTCATGGCGTGCCGGATCACATGATACTCGTCAGAAATCCCATTTCCCCCCAGCATGTCTCGGGCCTGGCGAGCGATATCCAGGGCCTTCCCACAGTTATTTCTCTTGAGCAAGGAGACCATTTCTGGTGTGGCCCTGGGAATGGCACAGATATGTAACTAGCATTGGTTGCAAAGAATTGACCCTGCTCTAGGTATCCAGGTTCCCTTACACCCTGAGAAAGCCAGACAGAGGGAGGATTCTCTGAGTTACAGTCACAGCAGTAGACACCAAACTCCTAATAAGGGACAAATAGGGTAGGCCCTGGCCCATCAAGGCCAAGAGGGAGAGAAGGGATGGGTTCCCAGGAGCCACCAGCAGAAAGGACTTTTCTCCCCAGAGCCAGCCACCATGCCCAGAAGAAGCATGGGATCCTTCTGCCGCAGCTGTCCCCTTCCTCTCCCCCCACAAGTGGTCCCTACTTGTCTTGATCCTTCAAGCGGCCAAGCTGCAGGCAGGCGTGAAGGCCCAGCGTGATCTCGGTGAGCATGTCTGCCAGCTTCTTCTGAATCAGCTGGTTCTTGGCCAGTGGGACACCAAATTGGATTCTAGGCGGGCAAGGTCAAGGTAAGTTCAAGAGGGGGAACCACTGGCTCAGGAAGCCTTCCTAGGCTGTCTCAGCCCCTGCCGAGCTCTCCCTGGCCCTGTTGTTAACTCAGCCTGTCACTGCTCAGATGGACCTCCCTGGCCATTCTGCAGAGCAGGGAGCTTAGTTCTGGTGGGTTGAAGCTAAGGAGTCACTGGTGGGGTACAGGATGGAACCTGAGCCTGCCCCCAGGAGCTCTCACAGCAGCAACTACTCACCTGTCTAGGGTGTATTGACGGGCTGTGTGCAAACAGAAATCAGCAGCTCCAAGCACACCCCAGGCAATGCCATACCGGGCGTTGTTTAGGCAGCCGAAGGGACCCTGTAGGAGGATTGAGAGAGGGCCTCAGCCTCACCCAGGAGGAGCTGAGAGGGACTGTGCGGAACCAGTTCTAAAGTAGGGGAATGCCCACTCCTCAGACACCTAGACGCAGAGTCAGTGTAAACAGTGGGGAGAATAGGGAATTCAGGGGAGCCCTTTAAATACCAAAGCTCATGCACAGCAGGCCTTGCTCAGTGCCTGCTCAGTCTTGATTTGTATACAGGTCTACCAGCCCAAGATCTTCATTGGCTGCTCAGATCTAGAGGGTGGTATAAGGAGACAGGAAGATGTGCATGTGCCAAAGGATTAAGTTGGTTCAGGCCCATGAGTCCTGGGTAGAGCCAGTATGAGCAAGATAGTCACCAAAAAGGGGCAGTACACAGGAACCATGTCTGTCTGGTCCCCAGCCGCTTCCCCAGCATGGGGCCTACCCAAGAAGGTGAACCAGCATATGACCTGACACCAGTTCCCAAGGTGGCTTCTGCTCACCGCTAGCCCCGAAGCGTTGGGCAGCAAGTTCTCCTCTGGCACCTCCACACTATCCATGATGATCATGCCCGTGGCCGAGGCCCGCAGGGAGAACTTGCCCTCAATCTTGGGGGCTGAAAGGCCCTGCATCCCCTTCTCCAGCAGAAAGCCCCGAATGCAGTTATCTTCACACCGAGCCCACACTACAAACAGGTCGGCCACAGGCGAGTTGGTGATCCTGGAGGCAGGACAGGCAGTGAAGGTCTGGCCGCCATCCCTCTGCCCCGCCCACCTACCTGCAGCACCCAGGACCCTCACCAGGTCTTGGCCCCACTGAGGGTGTAGGTCTTGCTGGATGGGTTGTGGAGGGCTCTGGTTTCCATGCTGCCAGGGTCACTACCATGGTTGGGCTCTGTGAGCCCGAAGCAGCCCAGGAGCTCCCCTTTGGCTGTAGGCACAAGACAGTGTTACAAAGCTGCCTGACCCCCATTCGTGCCCTCAATCGAAAGTGTCAGCCTCTCCACCAAGCTAGGCTAAGGCAGATCTGGCCCTGCCCTCATGGCACTTCCAGGTGATGGAAAAGTTCCCCTACCCAGGCTATAGTCATGACGGTGAGGGGCCCCACAGGAGTCAGGAAGAAGTCAACTAAACTGTCTTGAAGAACAGTGAAAAGGAGTTAAGCAGGAGGAGGCATGGAGAAGAGAAGTCCTGGCAGTGGGAAAAGGATGTGCAAAGGCCCAGTGATACATTTAGAGAATTCGAAGTAGCTGAGTCTGACTGGGGCAGAGCAGTCAAGAGTGTTGACCAGAGGCCCACTCACAGGGGGCCTTATGGACCCAGTCAGGAAGTTAAGACTTTAAACTTTGGTCTGGGATGGGGGAGACAGAAACCAAATCAAATAATGGTGGTAGGAAAAGGCCAGAGAGTCAAGAGAGACCTAGGAGGTAATGGTCAGGATCGGATGTGTGGGTGAGGTTCAGGCTCTAGCAGGGGATCCAGGTGGTCACTGGTGCTATCCATGAGGTGAGGACAGAAGGCAGGCTCAAGGGACAGCCCCACCCCTGATTTCCAGACCACTGGGACTGTCTTCTGCCAGGCTCCATGGGCAGCGGGCAGCTGCTCACCCAGCTGGGGAAGGTACTTCTGCCGCTGCTCCTCACTGCCATATGCATAGATGGGGTGCATGACGAGGGAGGACTGGACACTCATCGTTGACCTGTAGCCACTGTCCACCCGCTCTAGCTCCTGGGCCAGAAGCCCATAAGCCACAGATGAGGCTCCAGCACAGCCATACCCTGGTAGGGGAGAGGAAGAGCTAGGGCAGGGGAGGACAAAGCCTGCCCAGCTGGAACAGTGACTCCTGAGGTCCAAGAGACAGAGATACACAGGCACACCCAAGGAGGGGGCAACAAGCTGGCTCTAGTTTGAGGGTTTATTCGCTTCAGCCCCACAGTCAACAGAGGGATAACAGCCTTGTTTTACAGACTGGCAAACCCAGGCTCAGGGAAAGGAAGGGGCTTTCTAGCACACAGCTTGGGTTGCAGAGTGTAGAGAGAAACTTGTCCTTACCTTTGATTGTGGGGCCTAGAACACCAAGCTCCCCCATCTCTGAGATGATCTCCCGGTGAAAAACTTCAAAGGAACAGATGCTCAAGTTCAGGCCCTGCCCTAGCCCACTGGAGCCCGCACCCCAGGGACAGAGGAGGCAGAGGTGATGTGTATGGTGGAGGGTGCCCACCAGCCCTCTTGGGCACCTTCGTTACGATTGGCCAGCAGGATGCGGGTCATGAGACGCTCCTGGCAGTAGGTGCGGAAAGTGTCCCTGATAAGGATTTCATCCGCTGTCAGCTGCTCCTCCAGCACAAGGGGGTCTCTCCAGTCAAACTCTGGACGCAAGGCTGGGAGAGGGAACAGGGGCTCAACTCAGCCCAGCCCACCCAACACCGAGCCCTCCTCTCTCAGAAACTTCCACCCCAATCTGGCTCCTGGCGGATGTGAGTTGCAAACAGGTCTGGTAAGATGACCTTTGTCTGAGAAACTCACTTGTCTCAGCGCCTTCGACCTAGCCACAGCCCTGCCTCCCCGCCCCGGCAGCCCTCCGACTTCGGGACAGAGCCCACCCGGGGCAGACAGCTGGACAAGGGCCGCAGACGCACGGCGCGACAAGGGGTCCTTACTCTTGGCGGGTCGGCTCTCTGTCTTCTTGCCCTTCTCTGCAAACACAAGACGAGAAAATCAACCCGAGAAAGTCCCCGAGTCTTCAGTTCCACCCTCCCGACCCACCCCTGACCCGGCACTGACCGGTCTGTGCTGACGCCGAGCCCCACGCGCGTAGGAACCTCTGATGGTGTCCGCTGCTCAGCAACCGGGCGAAGACGCCTCTCAAGGCCATGTGGGCAGCGGGCAGACCAGCGTAGCAGCCACGGCTGACCTGGAGGAGCCGGGGTATCAAAGCGGAGCGGCTTCCACCCGCAGTCCTGGCCCCTTGCTCCTCTCTCCCCTCCAGCCAGTCCCTATCTGGTGCCTCTTTGTTCCCACTACTGGTCACAGAGCGGCTCAAAAAGGCTTTTGATCTCGGGAGGGGGTAGGAGGGGCGGAGGCCGAATGGGGCTTCTCATTGGTTCGTCCTGGGACCTGCTCCTTCACGGCTCTGCATTTTAAAAGGGCAATGGCAGGCTTTCCTGTGAAAACAGGCTTGTCCAAGGCGAGGCACTTTAGCTCTTTTAAGGAGCAGAACGAAGGAAAGGACGAAAGGCGAGTGCCCCAACCCGATTGGCCAGCTGTATTCCTGTTCTGATTGGCCCTGGGGGGGGGCTCGGCCCACTCTTCGTTGGTCAATTGAAAGGGACGCGTGCTAAGGGATTCTGGAGTTAAACTAGGAAACTGAGGCGGGAGAAAAATAAGCCCTGAAACCCAGAAGGCCAGACCTCGAGGTCTCCTCTGATGGGGCGCTGTGTGTGTGAGGAGGAGGTGGGCTATGAAAGGAGAGTGATCTCACTCCAACTTGTCTGCTAGTCTGTCCCAGGAAGCAAATGTAGCCGCGTGTGACTGTATGTGTGACTTGGTGTGATTCCGTGTGTTATGTAATTCTGTGCATCCATGTGTATGATTGTGCCTGAGTGACTATATATCTGTATGTGGTGGGACTGACTATGCCTGTGACGTTTGAGACTGTTGACTGTGGGTGGTTTTGTACCTGTGTAACTGTGACTGTCTAAATATCTTTGCATGTGATTTCTTATCTGTGTGATTGAAAGCTTGTGTAATGGTAATCTTTGTGATTGTGTGTCTATGTAGTACTGTGTGTATGACTGTGTTGTGATTTTTCCCCCCTAGGTGTGGCTATTACCTTTGTAATAATTTTACTGGATATTTGTATGTATGTTTGTGATTATGTGTATCTAAATGTGTCAGTGTGGTTTGGTCTATGTGCAGTTGTGTGTGATTGTGTGCCTGACTGTGACATATGCCTGAGTGAGCGGCTTTGCTCACCTAGGTCACTTTTAAGAGCATTTGTATGGTGTACATTTGTCTGGCTGCATCATGTTTGACCATCTCTGTATCTGAAAGACACACATCTACCATGACGAACCCATTCCTGGTTGGAGAAAGTAAGGCCCAGAAAGCAAAACAGACTTGTTCAAGGTCACAGTAGGTCAGAGGCAGAGCAGGGACCAGGACCTGGATCCAGTCCTCCTGATTCCCAGGACAGGCCCCTGCCTACCCAGGAACACTTCTTCCCACATAGGCACTCTGGGTAGTTGTGTGTTCAGCATGTTCTGCCTCATACATGCCTGTGACTGAGTGTGATGGGAGTAACTGTGGGAGCGTGTCTGAATGTGATCACTGGCCTGCATGTCCCCTAGTGCCTGGGACCTGGATGTCCCTGGACTCTCCCACATCCTGGGCCCTTATTGCCCTTAATATCCAAATAAAATAATCTGAACTCTCCTTTTCACACAGTGGGGAGTCCATCACCACCCTGAAATGTCAGGGATTCTGCATAACTCTTATTCCTCTGGACACTTCCTTCCTACTAGAGCCAGTGGCCTCTTTCCTTTTCCTCCTTCCTTTTCTCCAAAGCCCCCTGCCCCGGAACTGTTGTGGGTGCTGCTGTTCTCTATGCTTAGGGTGTGTGAAAGGGTACTGATAGAATACATACTCAGAAATTCAATAAAGTCTCCAGCCTTGCTGCCCTAAATAATCCATCATTTCTACTGGCCATATCATCCCAGGGGCCTTATCTCCCAGTCAAATGCCTCTCTCTGTCTCTCTCTCTCTCTCTCTCTCTGGACCCTTATCCTATTGCCTCATCTTTCAAAGCCAAACTTGCCTGTTCAGTGCCTTAACCTAAACCAAGGGTATCTCTCCTCAAGAGAGACTCTGCTTTCCTCTTCAAAAAACCACTGTAATTCCAGCCATTTTGTTTTATTTAAGTGAAATTCACATAACATAAGCCACTTAAAGTGATTTAAAGTTAAAAATTCAGTGGCAATTAGCCCATTCACAATGTTGTGCAACCACCACCTTTATCTAGCTCCAGAATATTTCCGTTATCCCAGAAGGACACCTTGTACCCATCAGCAGTCACTCCCCATTCCCTCCTCCCCCAACCTTGACAACCACTAATAGATTTGTCTATTCTATTTCATATAAATAGAATTATGTATGACCTTTTGTTGTGACTGGCTTCTTCCACTTAGCATGTTTTTGAGGTTCATCCATGTTGTAACATGTATTAGAATTTTATTCATTTTTATGGCTAATATTCCATTGTATGGATGGACCACATTTTGTTTATCCATTCATCTGATAATGGACATTTGGGTTGTTTCCACCTATTGGCAATTTTGAATAATGCTTCTGTGAACACTGGTGTACAAGTATGTTTGTTTTCAGTTCTCTTGGGTTCATACCTAGGATTGGAATTGCTGGATCATACGTAACTCTATGTTTACCTTTTAAAGAATCATCGAACTGTTTTCCACAGTTGCTGCACCATTTTATATTCCGACCAGAAGTGTACAAGAGTTCAATTTTTTCCACATCTTTCCCAACAAATGTTTTTTTGTCGTTGTTGTTTATAGCTCTCCTGGTAGGTGTGTCAAGCTGGTTTTTACATTACTTTTTGCCCGCACCCCTCTTATAGCACATACTTTTTTTTCTTTTTGTGTGTTGCGTTTGTGGCATGCCAACTCCAATTTTTTGTCTGCAGTGATGTATCTCTGACTTAGCAAGGTTGTGTGCCTTTCCCTTATAAGGGTGTTTAATGTTGGTAAGGTTGTCTGCATTTGACTGAGTGCACCCCCTATGGTTGAGTGCAATTGTGTGACTAAATAATTACGTACTGTAATAGTGACAGGTGGCATGACTATTAAAGGATGTAGGTTTTATATGGTGCTGGATGTGATTGTGTCTGATGTTAGCTGTGTGCCTGACTAGATCATTGTGTTTGTAAATGGTTGTGTGCAGCTGGGTTTCATGTTTTTGTGTCTGAGGCACATTTATGTTTGACAGAGTTATGTGACTGCATTTTCTAGTTTTGTGAGAACATCCAGGAATCCTTGCATGTCTGTTTGATTGTAGCTAAATCATGTCAGTATGAGTGTATGATTGTGTGTGATTGGGTAACTGTGCGTGATGTCAGGTGCCTGTCTGTGTGATTATGAATTCTATATCTGAGAGATTGTGTGACTATAACATTCTATAACCAAACAGTATGTGTTTTCCTGCCTGGGAATTGTGTACCTGTACATGGTCTATGTCATGCACAGACACACAATTATATGTGGGACTACATGGTCTGTGTGGCTGAGGGACAAGGAATTTGTGTCACTATGTAATTGAATATTATGTGTGTACGATTATGAACTATGTGTCTGTGATGTGTGTTCGTGTCGCCCCCATTCTGGGCTCCCAGGGTACCACAGTGAAGGTCCCTGGTGCAGCACCTTGGATCCTGCCCCCATGTAAGGCAGACATCTGGCAGCAGCAAAGCCCAGGGCAAGGGCTGGTGAGGATCTCCTGCAGGCCAGGTACTCCTTGTGGTCTGACCTAATGGTACCTTCCCACCCAGCTGAGTGGGTCGACTCTCCCTCCCCAGCCCTCATCGCACTGGAGCAACTGCAGTGGCACCAGCCTCAACCTCCACACAGCCTCCCTCCCTGCAGCACCTACCAGAGTGGAGGGCCCATGGTAGACAGTGGCAGCTGATTAGCAGAGGCTGTTCCTGCCACTGGGCTCAGACCCTGAGAGTTCACAACCCAGGCAATTTCAAGCCAAGCTAACATGAAGCCCCATTCCCCAGCGCCACCACTTGCTAGGGACAGAGCTTTGGCTGTTCTGGGCCTCCACCTGATAGCGGCCTCAGTGTCTGGGGTGTCTGATAATGCTTGGCCTGGCAGGGAGTTTGTGCCAAGTCCCGCCATCAGCATCGTTGCTTCTGTTTCTTGGGGAGGGGGTGGGCTGCAGGGCCTCAGCCAGGAGAGGGGTTCTTGAAGCCCCTTCCCAGAATCCCCATTCTGTCACCCCTCTTCCAGGAAGGTAACCAAGAGCAGGCTCCCAAGTCTCTCCTTCTTTGAGGATGCAGTGCCTCATTTTATCTAATACCTGAACCCCCAAACCTCTGAACCCCCAGCCCCCGAACATCTAACTGGGCTTTAGACACAGGGTCGGTCTTTAAAGCTCTGCCTCAAACAGGCCAAGGCAAGGTCTGTTCCCCAGAAACAGTGACCCCCCCACCCCCGTCTTTCCTGACCCTTATCAGAGGCTGTAGCCAATCAGCTGAAGGCAGAGAGGAGCCCTCCAAGGGGCCATTGGAGCCTCAGAGCCCACGAGGCCACTGAGGGAGAGGAGGCCTGAGGCCCAGGGTGGGCACCAGCCAGCCATGGCCGCAGCTGAGACCACTCTGCCTTCCATCGGTACACTGACCACCCTAGGCTCCTTCCCAGACACACAGGAAGACTTCTTAAAGGTGAGGCCACAGGGTCTAGGTGGCTGGCTGGGCTCCCAGGCAGTGGTCACATCTTGCCCTGGAATCCAAAGACCTGGCCAGGGCTGGGGGTCCTCTGCACAGTCTAGGGGTCTACACGTGTTCTAAGGGCTTATTTTTGTCTTAGAAAACTGAGGCTTGTAGCTGAACACCCTGGGGGGCTAGGCTCAGTGAGACAACCCCAGGTATCAGGAAAAGAGCAAAGGTGACTAGGGGACATCCAGGAATTAATCTTGAGAATTAATCTTCTTTGGGGACTGGGAAGGAATGGGAGGAAACTGAGGCAAGGCTGCCAGTACGTCCCCCTCCCCAACCCCTGGTCCTTCATTCTTAGCTCTGCCAACCCCTTCCCCCATGCCTGAGTGTGGCTCCAGATAATGTTAAGTCTTATCTCCTGTCACCAGCCAGACTCGATCCAACCTCTGTTCCTGAAGCTTGGGGGAACCAGGGCAGTGAGAGGGAGTAGGACAGACTTCACAGACAGGCAAACAAGACCCCTTTCCAGAGCTTCTGGGCAGCCTGCTCCCATCAGGGCAACAGGCCGCCTCTGTCTTCGGGCAGGGTGGTCTGGTAACCACTGAAGCCTCACGCTACCGGCTCCCTCCCGCAGTGGTGGCGTCCTGAGGAGGTGCAGGACTTGGGTCCGGGTCCCCCAGACCCCAACACGCCGCCCCTCCATGTGAGGCCAGGGTTGGAAAACGCGCATGGGGAGGAGGAAGACGAGGAAAGGGACACGGCCACCGCCTGGGATCTGGATCTCTTCCTCACCAACCTGCCGTGCTCAGAGCCGGGCGGCGCGCCCCAGACCTGCGCCCTGGCGCCCGTCGAGGGTCCCGGGGTGCTATTCTCGCCACCGCCCGAGACTCTGGGGGCGTACGCGAGTGGCCCGGGACTGGTGCCTGGGCTCTTGGGTCCCGAGGAGCAAGCGGGCTGGGCGCGCCCGACCTCCCGAGCTCCGGCCTCTGACACCTTCGTGAGCCCAGCCCTGGTCCCGGGCCCCGAGCCCAAGGTGCTGCCGCTGCAGCCGGTGTATCCAGGGCCGGGCGCGGGCTCCTCCGGCAGCTACTTTCCACGGACCGGGCTTTCAGTGCCTGCAGCGCCGGGCACCCCCTATGGGCTACTGTCCGGGTACCCCGCGCTGTACCCGGCGTCACAGTACCAAGGGCATTTCCAGCTCTTCCGCGGGCTCCCGGCACCCGCGCCTGGCCCCGCCGCGCCCCCCTCCTTCCTGAGCTGTTTGGGACCCGGAACGGCGGGTGCGGGACTCGGGGGAACTGCAGGAGACCCAGGAGGAACCACTGAGGCCGCGCCAACCAGGCGCAGCCGGCGCTCGTGGGCGCGCAAGAGGCAGGCAGCGCACACGTGCACGCACCCGGGCTGCGGCAAGAGCTACACCAAGAGCTCCCACCTGAAGGCGCATCTACGCACACACACGGGTGAGGCGCAGGGACATGGGGGCGGGACTGGAGGCGGGGCCTCTGGAACAGGGTGTGGCCCGGGAGCACAAAACCGAGAACAAGGGGGAGGGGCTAGAAGCGAAGATCCGACCCAGAGGGCGGAACCATAGCGTTAAAGGCGGGGCTAAAGCAGAGCCCTAGAGCAAGGGATGGGACAGAGGAAACTAAGAACGAGCCTGACCCCTCCCGAGTAAAGAAAGCTAGAGAACAGGCAACGGTGTGGGAGGCGAGTGGGGGCAGAAAAAGGACCCGGAAAACCTGAGGAGCGTTTCAGGGAACTGACGGGTAAGACCTGGCAAGCGGCGAGGAGGAGGGGCTAGAGGAGACTGCGGGGAGGGGCCAAGCTTGGAATGCTGGGGAAGGAGCCAAAGACACTGGGTTCAAGTTTGTGGCAAGCGAGGAGCGGAGTTATGGGTCAGGGAGTATAAGCGGAGATTGTTGGCATGGAGGCAGAGCCAGACTATAGGGGCGTGTCTGGGGCTCAGGAGGGGAAATACAGGGGCAGAGTCAGTTTCAAGTTCCCAGATGCAGAGTCAGGTCCAGGAGAGTAAGAGGAAATAGCTGGAAAACAGAGGAGGGTGAGCAAAAAGCTGGATCTCAAGGAGCAGAAGTCAGAGGCGGTGCCGTGGAATAGACACAGGTAGGAGGAAGAGTGAAGCCTATGCATTTTGGGATCCGCATAGATGATGGGGTCAGCTGTACCTACCTGTCAGAGAGGTGGAAGAGCCAGGCGTCGCTGCGGGAGAGAGTAATCACTGCAGATAGGGCCTGGGACACCAGGTGGATTTCGGGGCTCAAGGGTCAAGGCCAAGGGTCAAGGATAGGGCAGCAGCCTGGAGGGTCCCCTGGTGCAAGGAAGGAGCCGGACTACAGGGCGCAGGGCCAAAGAACGAGGGTGGGACGACTTTAGGACGCAGGGGCAGGGTACCTGTGCACAGGAAGTGGGGCCAGTGGTGTAAAGGATGTGATTTGGGTCCAGAAAATGAGAACAGGCGTGGGGCCTGATGCAGGTACAGAAGAAGGGTCGGGGTCGCAGAGGGCTGAACCTGAGTACACTTCCCTGAGAGTAAGTGGCTTCTTAAACTTCGCACCCTAGACGCCTCACTTGCCTCACTCTAGTCCTGTCCAAGGCTGAGCAAAGGAGTGCGGCCAGATGCAGGGGCAGACCCGGGGGCGGGATGAGGCGAACAATGGCGCTCACAGCTTCCTCGCCTTCCAGGGGAGAAGCCATACGCCTGCACGTGGGACGGCTGCGGCTGGCGGTTCGCGCGCTCGGACGAGCTGACCCGGCACTACCGAAAACACACCGGACAGCGCCCCTTCCGCTGCCAGCTCTGCCCGCGTGCTTTTTCGCGCTCGGATCACCTAGCCTTGCACATGAAGCGTCACCTTTGAACCAACTGCCCCCGCCACTTACCCCCAGCACTTGGACTTTCACGGGGACTGGGGATGGAACAAGAGTGGGTCTATGCTGGGTGGTTTTCCCTTGAAAGGACCCTCGCCCAAACTCGCGGCCCCACAGATTCACCGAAAGATCAAGGCTTGGCCCATAGACAGACCTGGGGGAGCATCCAACGGAAGCTCCCACATGTCCTTAGCCATAGTGGGCCACACAGAGACTTCCTACCATCACTCAGACCCAGGGAGACAGACTTCCAAATAAATGAGCTCAGATGGACATTCAGACACTTCGGACTGAGAGAGACCCTCAGAAAGCTGGACCCTCAGACCAGCTCACAGGGGGCCCTGACAGCAGTAGGGGTTGTGGGGTGAGGCTTCTCAGAGACCCTGGGTCAAGAAGGGGTCTTCACACTGTGACTTCTGAAGCTCCACATTGTGGCAATCTGCTGTGAATGGTTATGGGTCCTGTAAAAACGCCCCTCCTAGATAAAGCTTCAGCGTTGGCCTGACTGTGAGTTTTGGGTGCTGGAAGATGGGAGGAAGCTCTACCTCCAGAGGTGATGATGGGGGGCCACACACACCTTCACAGCCTACCTCCTTAGCCTCAGAGACCCCTTCTCGGGTACTGCAAACCTTGCCGCGCCTTCTCCTAACCCGAGATCAGGCTACATCATCTGTCTCCTGCCTTGAACCTCGGGGACGTTCACAGGGACAGTCTTCCCTCCATCTAAGAGCCCTCAGCCGGACCCCGGAGCCCCAGCACCCTTCACCTTACCATGATCCAAAGTGACCACTTGGCTAGTTCAGGGAAGCCCCAGGAAAACATGCAGAATGAAAAGGGAGAGGACTAGGAGCACAAACTCCCCTTAAGAGAGCAAAGTCACAAGAATTGGAACTCAGGATCTATGGCAGGAAAGGAAAAAAAAAGCAAGTTGCATTTGACCCATAAACCGAGAGAGAATGGGTCCGGTGAAAGAGTGAATTAGGATTAGCAGGATTGAACAAGACAAGAGGAGGAGCCTAGAGGAGGGACTTGATCTGTGATTAGCCATGGGCGGGAGGCGAAACACCGGAATCGCCTTGCTATAAAAAGGCGTGGTCTGGTACGAGCCAGAGAGTGGACTCTACCAAAGAGTTTTCCGGGTCGAGTCCTCCGGAAGCAGGACTGGAGGGAGCGGGGCCTGCAGAGGGTGACGGCTCGAAAGGAAGCCCCGCCCCCGGATGGTCTGGGACCGCCTTTTCAAATCTCTACTTTTCATACGGGGGGACGGAGTTTCCATGCTCGAGCTGTCGTGCCTCGGGTTCTCGGCTGAGTTTGGGGAAATGAAAGTTACAAGGGGCCAGGCCTGACCCAGCATGTGATCCGGAGCCTCACGGTCTCAAAACAGATTCCTCGACCTCAGCCCCATGGCGGCGCTGAGCGCTCTGCTCCTGGCCGCGCTGCTGTGGGTCCCTGCAGGCACCTTGACCTGCTACGGAGACTCTGGGCAGCCTGTGGACTGGTGAGTGCGCGGGCGCCGACCACACCCCTGGGGCCAGACTGGGGATTGCTTTGCTCCTGGGTGAAGCCCGAGGCTCTTTCTCTTCCCCTTCCTTCATTTCTGTCACTCCCCAATCGCCAGGTTTGTGGTCTACAAGCTGCCGGCTCACAGCGGGCCCGGGGTTGCAGCGCAGAAGGGGCTGCAGTACAAGTACTTGGACGAGGGCTCCGGGGGCTGGCGAGAGGGCGTGGGGACAATCGACAGTTTGATGGGAGCCGTGGGCCGCAGCCTGCTGCCGCTGTACAGAAACACCAGCCAGGTGAAAGGATGCCGGGCAGAGCCTGGGGTGGGACTCTAGGGAGGGCGTGGCCTGCAGGGGAAACTTCACGTCTTATCGTCCATCTCCCCCAGCTCGCCTTCCTACTCTACAATGACCAGCCGCCTAATTACAATGGGACTCAGGACTCTTCCAGCCGGGGGCACACCAAGGGTGAGGCCCAGATTGGGGTTTGTGGAAGGGCTCTGGTTTCCTTCCACAGTTTCCTCAGCTAACCCCTGACCTGTGGGAGGGGGTACTACTCTGTCAAGCCCTGGGATCTGCTTCCTCATTTTATATTAACGTCCTTTCTCCAAACTATGAGTGGTTTGCTTCCAAAAGTGTCCAGTGGTGGTCTCAACACTGCCCACACCCTCTCCAGACTCCCTGCAAACCGAGTGTGTTCCTGGTTGCACATGTGCTTGTTGGGATGCTTTGAGCCCTTGATCCCTGTCTTCTGGTTCAGGCGTGCTGCTCTTTGACCAGGAAGCGGGCTTCTGGCTGATCCATAGCGTTCCCGGCTTCCCACCTACTTCCTCTGCTGGATACAGCTGGCCTTCTTCTGCCCAAACCTATGGGCAGACACTGCTCTGCGTGTCTTTTCCCTTCAAACAATTCTCGAACATTGGTGAGTGGGAACTGAGAGGCAGGGTGAGTTCCTGATTCTCAGGCCAGTATGTAAAACAGTCTCATTTTCTCCTCCCCTTGCCCTCCAGGCAGACAGCTGAGATACACCTACCCCCAAGTGTATGACTACAAGCTGGAAGGGACCTTTGCCCAGATATTCCCTGACCTGGAGGAGGTGGTCAAGGGCCACCACGTTTACCACAGCCCCTGGAACAGCAGTGTAACACTCACATCAAAGGCAGGGGCCACATTCCAGAGCTTTGCCAAATTTGGAAAGTTTGGAGATGGTGAGCCCTGAGATTGAGGGTTGAAGAACTATTTTTACAGAGGTGGTGTCAGATGTGTCCATGGATGAGGGCAGGTGAGAGATAAGGACAAGGACTCTGGTAGCCAGAAGTACATGAGAGGTAGATAACCAACAGATCTGGGTTCAACTATTGGTTTCTGATTGTGCGGTGCATGATTTAACTGGACTCTCAGTTTACCCATCTGAAAAATGGTACTGATGTCTACCCCAATGTTGATATGAGTTAAGTGATGAATATACAGCATTTAGTAAGGGCTATTAGTCTTAATGTTGTTATTCCCCAGGGTTGCCAGGAATTGACAACTGAGAAAACTGAGCTCAGAGAGGGGCATTGACCCCCTAGCAGGGCCCCTGACCCAGCCCATTCCCTCTTTCCATCCTCTACAGACCTGTACTCTGGCTGGTTGGCGGAGGCCCTTGGCAGCAACCTGCAGGTCCAGTTCTGGCCACGCTCTCGTCACATCCTGCCCTCCAACTGCTCTGGGGTCCAGCATGTGCTGGATGTGACCAAGATAGCCTTCCCTGGGCCAGCCGGGCCCACCTTCAGTAGCACAGATGACCACTCCAAGTGGTGTGTAACCCCAGAAGGTCCCTGGGCCTGTGTGGGTGACATGAATCGGAACTTGGAAGAGGAGAAACGAGGTGGGGGCACACTGTGTGCCCAGCTGCCCACCCTCTGGAAGGCCTTCCAGCCTCTGGTGAATGCCTGGAAGCCCTGTGGGGAGAAGAGCAGGACCTTGTCTCCAGGAAGCCCAGCAGAGAGTCTGAGAGCTAAGGCACAGAAGCCAGTTTGAACTTCAGTTTAAATCCCTATTTACTCGCTTCCTAATTGTGACCTTAATTATGTGCCTTAACCTCTCTGTGATTCATTCTACTCATCTGCAAAATAGGAACCATAACACCTGATTTAGGATTGGTGAGGAATAAAAGGAAACTGATGGATGAGGCTGTTAACCTTTTCTACCGGAGGGCACTGGGATTCAGAACGGGTTGCAGCTCCCTGAGGGTCTGGGGGCAGCTGGGTCATAGGTGAGATACAAAGGGGGACCACAAGGTAGGGTCCACATAAGACTCACCTCTCCTTTCTAGTAACCAGGACAAGTTGCATCGCTAAATAAACACACAGCAAAAGGGCCGAAACCTTGCCTTGCCAGGGGAGGAGGGGCAAGTTCTGGAAAGCTCACGAAGCACAGACACACTTTATTTATATGTGTACATATGTATATAGGAGGCTGTACAGTGCAGGGCCAGTGGCCCCCTCAGCTATGGGCCTGGGGGTGTGGGGCAGGGTGCCCCTTTTTTGGTTGGGCCTACTGGGGGTACAGCTTCAGCAGGGCACCGGGAAGTCAGCCACACCTCAGGCTTGGTGACGGGAACCAGAAGGGAAGCTGGTGGGGCTGGGGACACTGCGCTGCTGGGCGCATTCTTCATTGGGGCTAGAGAAGGGGTCTGAGAGTCTGGGGAGAGCTTGGGGGAAGCCGGCTTGGAACAAGGCCCACTCAGGGTGATCCGCTCCTCCACTACCTCCAGTACCCAGCGATCCTGGCCTCGGGGCGCCTCAGACGCGCAAGACACCAGAGGTATGGAATCCTGCAACCCCTTAGAGTCCGAGGCTGGAGGCTGGAGCACCTCGGCCTTGGGCCCCGGCCGCACGGGCTCTACGACAATGGGCACCGGGGGCGTGCCTGCCTCACCAGAGCTGCTGCGCCGGCCTGTCTCGTGTTCCTGAACAGGACTCAGCGTGGCCTTGGCCACAGCCCTGGCCGCCCCGCCCGCACTATCTTCGGTTTGCACGCTCTGGTGCCGCGTGCCGCTGGCGTCCCGCTCCAGAGTCCGGCCCCCGGGAGTCGTCACTCGGGGAGGAGTGCAGGCCTCCATACCGCCTGGGGACTCCTCCTTACTCGATGCTGCCAGCGGCCTGGGGGTGCCCTCAGGCAGCAGTGGGTCCGCGCCCAGGCTCAGGGGCGACTCCTGGCGTCCCAGGCGGCGGACAGCGACCTGTCGAGGCGCGCCAGGTCCCTCGACAGGGGGCGTCTCGCCATCAGACTCGGCGAGGCTATGCAGTGCCAGCTCGCCGTGGAAGTCCTTGCGGAAGTCCGGGTGTCCCACCTCAAGGCTGTGTTTGCGAAGAGCGCCCTTCTTGTCAGCGCCCAGCGAAGCTCCCAACTTCTCCGCCGACTGTACGCGTTTGAGGAGTGGCGAACGCGGGGGCTCAGCACTCTTGGGTCGCGGGCGCACCACCGGCGGCGACGAGTGCAGCTTGGCCGGGAAACTCTGCGTCGTGTGCGAGCTGCCCACCGTGTGGCCAGGCAGCGGCGGTGGCGATGCCTGCGTTGGGGATGGCGTGTGCGCCAGCGGCGACAGTGGAATGTTGCCGGCCGACTTGCAGCGTGCAGAGCGGTACTGGCGGTGCAACTTTGGCGACAGGCCGTGCAGCGTGCTGGGCCGGATGTGGTGTGATGCCGACGATGCCGGCGAATTGGGCGTGCTCGAAGCCGGAGAGCTGCTCTGGGATGAGGCCCCTGCAAGTGGGCAAGAAAGGGTATTGAGTGTGGCAGGCACCCGCGCTCGACCTTCCGGAGGCGGAGGCGCAAAGCATACCTAGGTAGGCGGAGTCGGGTGTGGAACGGTAGCTGTGGGTGGGCGAGCGTGCGGGCAG